TTTTGCCATGCGGAGGTAAGTTTCAAGCTTCAAGCATGGCGGTGACACGTTGGGTGTACCAAGAAGGGCTCGTTTAAACTGATGCAGTACAACTGTTCCTCGAGAAGCCATCTAAGTTTTCTTAGCTTGCAACAATGCCAAGACCCAAACTTGGATATGAAGCGCAATCAACTGTTGTTGATCGAGGTCACGCAGGTATTTGCATAATCACGCTAGATGGACATATTAACTGTGAAGTGTTTTATACACAAATATTTACGTTGGCTGCAAACTGCTGACTCATTTTATCCAATGAGAGTATTTGTTCTTTTCCTGTATATCACGAACATTGACCTTTGTACAAAGGCATGGTAACTGCCCTCCCCACTACCCACGGGAGAAATATACTAAGCATTGCTTTTCAAACCATGCATCCGGGGGGAGCTGATGTACTTTTTTTCAATATACATATTAATATCGAGCGCGGGATTCGTATGTGGTCCTTAACAACTACTACAACTCCTTTGATCGATACACAAATTCATATTGTCAAGATGACTTTACAGAAGAACTCAAAAGGGGAACTAAACAAACACAAAACCAGTAAAAGTAAAAGTAATCAAAATTCAATCAGGTATTTTATTACAAATGATGTACACACGTGATTTTAAAATTATAAAATCATTGATGAATGGAAACTTATGAGGCCTTACGATGTAAGCGCTACTTCAACCTAAAAGTCATTTATTTTCCTCGAGCTTTCGGCTCACCGAGCCATTATCAAGACTGAATGAAAAACGACAAGGGGCGGATGATCCCGCAAAATTATCTTTGTGTAATTAGAAGTTAGTTACCGCGCGCGCTTATTAGATCTTTTCAGAGAGCGCGCTCATTGATTTTATGTTGTTTTGTAAAATGTAACGTTTTTCATTCAGTCTTAATAATGGCTCGGTGAGCCGAAAGCTCGACGAAAATAAATAACTTTTAGGTTGAAGTAGCGTGACTAGCAAAAGCTGACGAGACACTTTTGCCTAGATAGCGATCGATCGCTCTAAACATCAACAGATTAGCATAAATTCATTCAAAGGGCTCACTTTACACAGGTGTTATATTTGTTCTCAAATGTCCCGAAAAGACGTGAGCCCGCGATCTATGAGCTTTGTGATAACATCTAGTATCTGATAAAAGAAGATATTATTAAGTATTATAAAATTTTTGATATATAACGCGCGCTCTGATTGGCTGACGACCGTGTCTATATCAGAGGACAGAGACACGGCGTACCGGCAAAATTTTCTTTTCGCTCGAAAAATTTTATAAAAGAAATATAAAACGGCCGCTTGTGTCTCTGTCCTCTGATATAAACACGATGGGAGTTGAAAAACACTCGAAAAGCAACGCTCGTGTTCCTAAGCTTGCTTCTCTCGTATTTTTCGAACTCCCACCGTGTTTATATCAGAGGACAGAGACACGCGCGCCGTTTTATATTTCTTAAATATAGTTTCAAAAATCAAGAAGCACTCCTAGAATTAATATTCAAACTTTTACCCCAAGGCAACTTCATCCCAGTCAGGGTAATAAGCCTCTTTCATACGATTTGTATGAGCTTCAAGATTCTTCAGTTGCGTCAAAATCACTTTTCCCTGTGGAGAAACTGGCTTCACGAAGATGAAGTTGCTCACAAGTGCAAATAGATAGGCATCAGCAAGGCAGGCTTTGTCTCCAAACAAAAACTTCTTCTCTCCAAGAATGGTAGAAACAGCTCTCAGATCTTTCTCAGCTATCCCATAGACCTCTTTAGGAAAATGACGCCCGATCCCGTGACCATGGAGATTTCGTCTGGCATTTCTTTGAAACCCAAATCGAAATAACAAGTACCTCAAAGGAAAGCTGAAATTTTCCAAGAAAACTTTTTTCGGTATTTCGTTGCCCTCACCTAAAAACAGAAAGTATGACCAAGTCCTAGTAATAAAAGAAGAAAAAATACACATTAGCACCTGGGACGAGTAAGACCCGCTTTTAACATTGGGACCTAAAATGACGTCTATGCTTTTTTGTGTTTATATTAGATTGGCATGTGTCACTCACTGCGGGTACCTCTCTCTGAGTTGTTTTCATTTCACGAAGCAAGAGTTTTGGCCCTAGCCTCAAACCTAAAGGCAAACTATTCTGATATAAGCAGGCGCCAAAATTATAGAGCTATGATAACAATAGTCAATACTAAAAGTATCTTTTGTGTAACATTGCTGGCATACAATCGTGATATTTTGATGACGCAAATCTCCGGTATGTGTCACGCCACAGGGCATGGATTTTCCGGTTTTCGGTCTAGGGTAGGGTATTCCCTTTTGACATTTTGTCCGGGATAAGGGATCTATGCTTTTGGTCATGGATAGGGTTAAAAGTTACTCGTTAAGTCGGGATAGGTGTAGATTTTGTTCGGTTTAGTCTGGAATAAGCTACGGCTTTCTGTCGAGAGAAACAATGCAATTTGCGCTTAGAAGTGAGCATAATATACACCCTTTTAATAAGTCTCGAGGTATTGTGTTCTCCGCACTTGACGTCAAATTTATTCTTTTGAATTCCTTTTGTATTGTAAAAATGTCAAAAGAATAAATTTGACGTCAAGTGCGGAGAACACAATGCCTCGGGACTTATTAAAAGGGTGTATAGGATGTACAATCCTTAGGTTTAATCTAGGGAATGACAATTCGACATTTTAGATCTGGGATATACTCACACAGATCTCATAGGTTTTCACGCGCTGTTCCTGAATAAAAGTGAGGCTAACACAGTGTAAAAGAGATCACTAAAAGGGTTTATTCACTCTCACCGGAAAGTATTTTCTTCCAGCATGACTAGTACAGCTCTTGCAATGGCTTTCTGCTCGTCGCTTAGGTGGCTATCAACATCTATTCCAAAGCCAGGGCCATTTTCCTTGATAAGAAATTCAATACAGAAGTTTGAGTCTGCAATATCTTGCCCATTGTATTCTATCCAAGGCATCTTGCCTTTGCTCGACATTTTGGGAACATAGTCACACTCATAGTGAAACTTTGCCATACGAAGGTAGGTTTCTAACTTCAAACATGGCGGTGACACGCTAGGAACGCCGAGATAAGGACGTTTGAACTGATGCAGGATAACTGTTCCTGGAGGCACCTTTCTGGTTCTCTTTCTCTTCGAACGAACTAGTTTAAAGGTAATAAATATGCCAATAAGAATTCCTGTTATGCAAGCTGCAGAACGAAGCCACAACTTCATTGCCTAGTCGACCAGTGTTGGCTCACGAAATGCGATAGGGAACTTGGGAAAAGATTTGAAGATTTTTGCTTTGTAATCTTGCTGAAGTGGTTGAAATATAAATACATAGGATGCACTCAAATTTTGTGGTATCAAGGATTAAATTTGAACAAACATTTGGGATCAGACATTTATTGTGACACGAGTAAAGAAATATCTCATGTCACGACTCTCGCATCGTCACGCAACACCACCTCCTAAACCCTTACATGATTGCCCATGGTAGATATAGAGAGCATCGCTTTTCAGAGCATGCATCCGGGGGGAGCTGCGATAGACTTCTTTCGATAAGCAATCTTATATCTACGTAAACTCCATAACCTTCTTCCTTGGCAAGCAAAGACTTCGAAATTTGAGGTCATGTTCTAACTTATCATAGGGCAATACATTTTCGGATAGTTTAACAGTTTGGAATCCCTACACGGACCCCAGCTGGTTAAAAAAAAAAGAAATAGAGCAATGTCCATTCATTGGTCAACAGGTTACAAATTCCACACAAGGCTCAAGGGAGTAAATTCAAGGTCCTTGGAGTGGGGGAGGGGGGGGGGTTATACGGTTATATTTGATATACGGGTATGTGCCGCTCGATAGAGTCCCTTTTTCGGAGCTCCAGGTCGCGGATAGGGTAGTCTTTTTGCCGTCTGGGATAGGGTAGTTTTTGTCTAGAGTAGAGTATAGTCTCATTGTCTGGGATAGGCTAGTAGTTTTGTATGGGATAGGGTAGTTTTCTGTCTAGGATAGGATATAGTCTCATTGTCTGGGGTCGGGTGGGGTTTTGCCTGTGATCGTATCTGCTATAGGCCACGATTTTAGCGCTAAAATAATGTAGCATCAGTTATACTAATATCTAGTAACTGATAATAGGTAAACGCATAATTAAGTAATATTGTTTTAAACTACAGGAGTCACTACTAAAATTATTAGAGTCTTAGTTTTGCCCCAAGGCAACTTCATCCCAGTCAGGGTAATAAGCCTCTTTCATACGATTTGCATGACCTTCAAGATTCTTCAGTTGCGTCAAAATCAACTTTGCCTGCGGAGCAACGGGAGTYAGAAAGATGAAGTTGCTCACAAGTGCAAAGAGAAAGACGTCAGCAAGGCAGGGTTTGTCACCAAACAAAAACTTCTTCTCTCCAAGAATTGCAGAAACAGATCTCAGATCTTTCTCAGCTATCCCATAGATCTCTTCGGGAGAATGACGCCCGATCCCTTGACCATGGAGATTGCGTCTGATCGCTCTTTGAAACACAAATCGAAATACCAAGTTCCTCAAAGGAAAAATGACATTTCCAAAGAAAATCTTCTTAATTGTTTCGCTACCCTCGTCAAAACCACGAAAGTATGCCACAGTACTGGGAAAGAAAAGAAAAAAATTAGCAATTCTTCCTGGTAAACGTACTACCTACAGTCAACTCTCGCTATTACGGACACCCTCGTGACCGCAATTTAGTGTCCGCAGTAGTGAGAGTCCGTACTAACAGGAGTTATTTTCAGTCATTTCTTTGTATTTTTGGCCGGGGATTCAGTATCTCGTGTCCGTAAAGTCGAGGTGCCCAAAATAGCGGGGTGTAAGTAAAGCGAGAGTTGACTGAATTGGAAATGAGTATGAGTATACCGCACCGGTCGGACGTACTAATACGAGACTAATGTTTGAGCCTTGGATGCAAGTATATACTGCAACTATCCGTCCTAATGCCCTCTTATATAGTGATTGACATCGACATAATCCAGGGATGTGCCCGGAAATTTTGAAAAAGGAGGGCAAGGCGGAACATTTAACAAAACATTTGTTTACTAGTATTTGAAAACAATAGAATTTATCAAAGAACGAGGAAACAATGAGCATTGTTTTATTCCTCCAATCACAAGAAACCTTAAGGAAGGATAACAGTTATAGATTTCTGTGGCCTAATTTGAGATCTTTTTTATGAAAGACCCGGCTTGCAGTATATCATTCATTGTATTCGTTCAGTCCTGTAATGGTAGTATAATATTATTATTTTTTTTTTGTTTGTTTATTTGTTACATAAACCTTTTCTTCCCTTCAAACATTCATATATTAGTTTGCTATCAGCTTTAGTGAAGTTTTTTTTTAGTCTTGATTAAAAGTAGCTTATTTCACAGTCTACTCCTTGGGAAACGGATTTTTCTCTCTTTGGTCTTCCTGTGTTGATTTATCCTGACCGATACAAACTGGTGTCGAGAGATTAGGAACAACCTCTCCCCTCTCCGGCAAATTTTCTGCCTTAACACAGGAATCCCGCGGAATAGAGATTTGACTGCGAAGGAGGCTATAAATTGGTCTTCCTCGCATATACAAAGGCCATCCCCCTGGATTTGCCTCTGTGGTATCCTTGCTATGCATAATAAAGCTTACAATAAATAACTCTCTCACCAGAAGGTATTTGCTTCCAACATGACTAAAACAGCTCTGGCAATGCCTTTCTGTTCGTCGCTCAGGTGATCATCAACATCGACTCCAAACTCCTTATTAAGAAACTCAATACAGAAGTTTGAGTCCGCAATCTCTTTGCCGTTGTATTCTATCCAAGGCATCTGGCCTTTTCTTGAAAATTTTAAAGTGTAATCGCACTCGTAGGGAATCTTTGTCATGCGAAGGTAGGTTTCTAACTTCATACATGGCGGCGACAAGTTTGGAACGCCAAGATAAGGACGTTCGAACTGATGCAGAATAACTGTTCCTCGAGGAACTTTCCTGGTTCCTTTCTTCTTTGAACGAACTAGTTTAAATGTAATAAGTATCCCAATAACAATTCCTGTTATGTACGATGCAGAACGAAGCGAAATTGGGATCTCCATGCTGCAGATGCATGCACGGAAGTATGATGGACGATTTACATGGGAGGATAGCAATAGGTTATGACCCAAACCCCCCTCCCTCGACCACAGATACAATTTATGCATGTATCTTAGCAATGTCAAGACTCAAACTGGGATATGAAGTGTAATCAAATGTAAGGCAGCTGATTTGCACGCTTTTCATCTGCATATCAACTATCAAGCTTTTGATGCAGAAATATTTACATTCCAAAATACTGTTTCATATCACACTTATTTTTCTCCGACAATCAGAATCCTTCAAGTTCACTGATCATATACTAACACCGATCCAATGGATCGTCCTTCGTCTATTTGTTTTCTCAGCCTCGAGGTTGATTGACCTTTGTACCCAGAATTAACGAAGGAAAGTATACCTTCATTACATCCTCTCCACTCCACTGCCCACGGAAGATATAGGAAGGTTTTCAGAGCAGYTGCGATATTTTTTTTTTCGATATGCATCAGTATTCACATCSACCAGCTTCACATGTGGCCATCATTAATTACTGCTTTGATTTGCTTGGATAAACAA